GTTTGCAGGCTGGCCACAGCCCCTTCAGTGTGGATGTCCCCCCTGGGGTGCCTGGCCATCCTGGGTGAGGGGCTGAGGACCGTTTGCAGGCTGGCCACAGCCCCTTCAGGGTGGGGGGTCCTGCTGGGCAGCCTGGCCAGTCTGGGTGAGGGTCTGAGGGCTGTTTTCAGGCTGGCTAAGCTCCCCAGTGGGGACCCTCACCCCATGAGGGTGTGGCCAGCCTGGGTGAGGGGCTGATGGCTGTTTGCAGGCTGGCCACGGCCCCCAGCCACCTAAGCTCCCAGTGGAGCTTGGCTGGAAACAGGTATCTGGGATTTATTTGTCTTCTATAATTGAAACTTTGTTGCCATGAGCAGAGGCCACAGCTGGCTCCGGGGCGGTGGGAAGCTTGGCTTTCTCCATCGCCTGGGCAACCAAGCCTCCTTCTTGCTCCAGCTCCGTGGCTGCCGGCTGCCATCTTGGTTGGGTTAATTTGCATATAGTCGCTCTGATTGGCTGGTGGGCGTGGCTTGGGGGCATAGCAAAGGTATGGTCAATTAGCATCTTTGTCTTTTATTAGTGTAGATAGATATGAGGAGATTTATAGGAATTGGTTTATTCAATGATGTAGGCCAAGAAGTCTCACACTTTGCCTTCTGCAAACTGGAGATATTGGAAAGCAAGTGGTATATTTCAGTCTGAATCTGGAGGCCCTGGAACTGGGAGCACCATGTCTGAGGACAGGAGAAGATTAATGTCTCAGGTCAAGCAAAGAACAGATTTACCCTTCTCCACTGTCTTGTTCTATTTAGGCCCTCGACAAATTGGATGATACCCACATTGGGAAGGGCGATCGATATTCTTTACTCTATTAATTCAAGTGCTAATCTCTTTCAGAGAAACACCTTCACAGATAAATTTAGAAATAATGTGTACTAGTGATTTTTTTCATCCCTTAGCCTGGTTCAGTTGACACATAAAATGAACCATCACACCTAGAAATTGCTAATCTGGCCTCATCTCTATGGTTTTGTCATTTTGAAAATGTTATATAAATGGAATTATACAGTATGGATCTATGATGCCCTTGAAATTCATCCAAGTTGGTACATGTGTCAGTAGCTTTTTCCTTTTGATTGCTGAGTAGTATCTCATTGTATGGATGTACCAGCATTTGTTTAATGATTAACTCACTGAAGGGCATGTAGGTTGTTCCCACTTTTGGGATATTCTAAATAAGACTGCTATGAATATTTGTGTACCATTTTTTTAAATTGTGGTAAAACATACATCAAATTTACCATTTTAACCATATTTAAGTGTACAGTTTAGTGAATGTACAGGTTTTTGTGTGAGTGTAAACTTTCATTTCTCTGGGACCAATGCCTAAGAGTACAACAGCTGAATCACCTGGTAAATGGATGTTCGGTTTCATAAGAAACAACTGCCCTATTTTCCGTTCCCACCAGCACTATGTGACAGATCCCATTTCTCTGCATCGTTGCCAGCATTTGGTCTTACTACTGTTTTTTATTTTAGCTACTATAATAGGTGTGCATCTCCTTATAGTTTTAATTTGATTTTCCTAATGGTGAGTAATGTTAAACATCTTTTCATGTGTTTTTTGCTAATCAAATCTCCTCTTTGGTGAAATGTCTATTCATGTCTTTTACTTTTTTAATTTGATTATAAGCAGTCTTGCATTTGTGTTTTTATTGCTTTTGTGTTTTTGAATTTTGAGAATTCTTTTTATAGATTCTAGCTACTAGTCAGATATGTGGTTTTCAAATACTTTTCCTTCAATCTGTAGCTTGTCTTTCATCTTCTTAACAAGGTCTTTTGCTCAGCAAAATTTTTAATTTCGATGAAGTTTAATGTATTTTTAAAAATTCTCACTTCAGGTTATATTTTTATTGGTTTTTAGAGAGAGAGAGGGAGAGAGAAACATCTAGGTGAGAGAGAAACCAATTAGTTGCCTTTTGTCACACTGGATGACGCTCCAACCAACTGAGCCACTCAGCCAGGGCCAACGTATCTTTATTTAGAATAAATTATCCCTTTGATATCCTATTCAAGATACATTCAAGAATTATACTCTTTGCCTAGCCCTTGATCTCAAAGATTTTCTGCATTCTTCTTTCCTAAAAGTTTTATCATTTTATGTTTTACATTTAAGTCTGTGATCCATTTTGAGTGAATTTTGGTGTAAGGTGTGAGGTGTAGGCATTTTTATTTTATTTTTTTGCTTATGGATGTTTAGTTGCTCCAGTGCCCATTTGTTGAAGAGGCTGTCAATTCTCCATTGGATTTCTGTTGCCCATTTTAAAAACAAAACAAAACAAACAAACAACAAAACCACAGAACATACTTTGTGGTTCTATTTCTAGGTTCTCTATTCTGTTCCATTGGTCTCTGTGTCTGTCCCTCTACTAGTACCACACTGCCTTGACTACTGGAACTCTATAGCAAGCCTTGATATTGGGTAGTGATTCCTCTCATTCTTCTTTGTCAAGATGGTTTGATCCAATCTAGTTTCTTTGCCTTTTTCTATAACTTTTAGAATAAGCTTGTCTATGACTACAAAATATTTTGCTGAGATTTTGATAGGAATTTCATTTTTATTTTTGAGATATTGTGAATGAAATTATTTTTGAGATTTTTTTTTAGTTTTTCCATTGCTAATATCTAGAAATGCAGTTGTTGTTTGTACATTGACATTGCTTGACCCTTTAATTAGTGCTAATAAGTTGTTTTGTGGATTCTTCAGGATTTTCATCATATAGGATAATGTTATCTGTAAATACAATTTTACTTCTTGCTTTCCAATCTGGATGTCTTATATTTCATTTTCTTACCTAATTGCACTGGATAGAATCTCCAGTATAATCATCAGTAGAAGTGGTGAGAATGGACATCCTTGCCTTGTTCCTGATCTTAGGAGAAAGCATTTTGTTTTTCACCATGCAGTATAATACAGAGAAAACCAAGTACTCAGTACGAGGGTCCTGAGAAGGGGTGGTTTGTGGGGAAGCACGGACTTGGTTGGAATGTCTGTGAGGAGGATTCTCTGAAAGGTCAGGGGCCTCTGAGGGGACCTTGCCAAATGCGGCAGCCCCTACCTTGACTTTTCCAAACAAGTCCGATCCCCCGGGGTGTTTTGCTAGAATCTCTATGTTTAGGCTTTAAAGACCTGACCTTGTAGAAGCATGTACTTTCTCAAGGATACATACCCTACTGATTGTATCTAGCCCAGCGTTTCTCAACCTGTGGGTCGCGGACCCCTTTGGGGGTCGAACGACCCTTTCACAGGGGTCGCACGACCCTTTCACAGGGGTCGCCTAAGGCCATCGGAAAACACATATATAATTACATATTGTTTTTGTGATTAATCACGATGCTTTAATTATGTTCAATTTGTAACAATGAAATTGGGGGTCACCACATCATGAGGAACTGTATTAAAGGGTCGCGGCATTAAGAAGGTTGAGAACCACTGATCTAGAGGTTAATTTGAGTTCAATAAAAAGCCAACAAGGCAGGTGAACAAGGCTGCTTTTACTTCTAAAGTAAAACAGTCCCTTAGCCTCTCTTTCACAGAAACCTGTGTTGGAGTAATCTATTCATCCGTGCCTCAGGGTCTGCTGGTCAGCCCCGGCAGTGGTTGGGTGAGGGCATTTGGAAGTCTTTCCAAAGAATCGAGTTGGGAGGTGCATGAACTCACTGAGGCCAGGAAATCTGTGAGTGTCCTGACATTTCAGTACTGGAACTGACAACAGAAGAGGTTGAACTCAGTACTGATGATAAAGTGCAGGCTTTGCTCTGCTTCTCCAACAAGGTAGCTCTCCTCTCCATCCTCACTGTCCCCATGGGAAGCCAGGCAGCCTCCAAAGGGTCCTGTGCCACCATGGACTTTATCTCTCTCCCCTTCACTCCAGGATGCAGAGCGGATGGGAAAACTCCCCATTGTTCCAGGGAAGGATGCCAGGAGAAAGCATGTAAAACTCTTGTCCTCAGGCGCCTGGGGCAACTGCCACCAATGGGGGTTCTGTGGCTCTTTCCGTATTAAGAACCTGACCTTCATTTGTTCCTAACTCCAACAATCTGTTCACATGTTTAAATGCACGTATCCAATGCCAGCTAGGTGCAAGGTATCTTTTGAGACATGGTATGGGATGAAATAGATTAACAAGATCCTTATTCAGACCTTTGTAATTTACAACAGAGGGATGAGTTTCAAATACTTAAACCCCAGGAACAATGTGAGCTCTGTGATAAGAGAGGCATAAATCAAGTACTGTGATTGTTCCAAGGAAGGAAACAGCACATGTGTGCATGCGCCTGTGTAAGTCTGTGTAGGTGGGCTTGGTTGGGGCAGGTGGGATGGGGTGGGTTACAGGCAGTGGAGCACAGGCAAGCTGAGCACTAAAAGTTGTATAGGATTTTGAAAGACAACTGGCAGGAGCTTTGGGGATACCTTAGAGCAGTGATTCTCAAACTCTCATTGGACATGGGCCACTTGAGATCTTGTTAAATACAGATTCTGAACAAAGGGTCTGGGATAGGGCTTGAGAGTTTTGACAAGCTCCCAGGTAAAGCTGATGCTGCAGATTGGAGGGTCACTCTAAGTAGCAAGGATGTAGAGAACAGCTTATATGATTTGGCTGGAGAATAGTGGGAGAGAAGGAGAGAAGAACTGAAAAAGTAGTTAGGGGCCAGATTCCAGACTGAGGAGATTGAACTGTATTTGGCAGGCAGTGCACAAGCTCTGAAGGTATTTGGGCCATGAAGTGAGCCAAGTCAGACTTTAGGCAGATTAGCTGAAAATCACTCAAAGGAGAGACAAAGCAGGGACAACTAGAGACACAGTTATTTTTTATCCATCCATCCATCCATCCATCCATCCATCCATCCATCATCTATCCACCATCCACTAACATTTATTAGGTAAATATTGTGCTCCAGACACCAGGGAAGGATAAAGAAAACCCAATTTCATCCCACACTCCCCAGGGATCCCAGAGCCTAGTGGGATTGATGAACCCCATATTATGTGTGCAGGTTCGACAGGAGCTCAGAAGAAGGGAGCAGGCAAGAAGCTTCCTAAAGGAGAGGACCCTTGAGAGCTTTCAAAGAGTCAGTGGGAGTTATTTGGATAAAGACGAGCAGTTAGAGGGATCCTAAGCAAAAGCCAGTGGCAGCAGCGCAATGCATGTGGGGAGCTGCTGGGAGTTTGGGGCTGAAGGAGTTTGAGGCCAGTGAGGTCTCCAGAGGTGTAGTGACAAACAGCAGGGACCAGCTCTGGTTATGTCAGTGTACTGGAGGCTCATAGGACTGACTGGAAAGTTGAAGAAACCAGCTTAGGTAGGCACCGAAAGTCAGGCCCTGTCCCCACATCTCTGAGTGAGTAAAGTGTGGTCAGCCAAAATCACAGTGCCCATTTTTGGAAGTCATAATGGTAAGTAGAATCTATAGAACATTTATAGATTCTATAGAACATTTATAGAGGCACCGTGCTAAGTGCTTTACACGTGTAATTATAGGGAATTCTACCAGTAACCTTAGCAGGGGACCCTACATTAAGATGAAGAAACAAGACTTCAAGAGGGTCTGTAGTTGGCCTGACATTGCCCAGCTACCAGGTGATGGGGCCTTGATAGAAGTTAAGTCACTGCTCTCCAGAGCCCCGGTTCATAAACCACTCAGGGAGAATAAAAAGGGAGGGGCCAGGTCAGCTGTGGACCAAGGGAGTGGTACTCAAGGTCATAATTGGGAGATGGGCCTCTGTTAGCTAAAAGCTTTGGTAGTTGCTTTGGGCCAAAAGATGTAACTAGCAAGGTTTGGAAGGAGATCGTCAAACTGACATGGCTGTAGTGCTTGTCATAGAGATGACTTTGAGGTTTGGATGGGGGAACAGGAAAGACCCCCAGGAGAGGGGCACTGATGAAGCATGTAGTGAACCACCCCTACACACACATACACTGTTCTCTCGCTTTTCTTCTCTCTCTGGTACCCTAGCCCTTCAGTTCTTTGTGGCTCTGGGTCAGGGGCCCTTTGTTAGTAGAGAGATTGGGGTGGTGAGTAGGGGCTGGTGAAGGACGGCAATTGATCTATACCTGAAAAAACACTGCAGAAGAAACTCACTGACATAGACGACATCAAAAATAGAGCTCCTGCTCAGAATCTCTGGAGGGGCTGGGGGTTGCTGATTTTCCCACCAGGGTTCAAACCATCTCAACGACTCCAGGATGACAGAGGAGAAGGGCCTGTCTGCCTGGGCTGCTATAATCAAGTCTCATAGACATTTAGTTCCCACAGTTCTGGAGACTGGAAGTCCAGAATCAAGGTGCCTGTGAGGCTGGGCCCTGGTGAGGCCTCTCTCCTGGTCTGTCAGATGGCCTCTCCTGTGTGTGTGTGTGTGTATGTGTGTATGTGTGTGTATGTGTGTGTATGTATGTGTGTATGTGTGTGTATGTGTGTATGTATGTGTGTGTGTGTGTGTGTGTGTGTGTGTGTGTATGCAGCAGGGAGATCTGGTGTCTCTTCCTCATAATGATCCCAGCCAATGGATTAGAACCCCACCCAAACCACCCCATTTAACTTTAATTATGTCCTTGGAGGCCCCATCTCCAAATAGAGTCACATTGGGGGTTTATTTAGGGCTTCAATATGAATTATTTTTTTGGGGGGGTATACATTCAGTTCATAACAGGCCCCAAGAGACCCTCTAGTCTAGCCTCTTTCCTCATTTACTGATGAGGAAACTGAAGCTCAGAGAGGTTTGCTCAAGGTCACACAGCTAGTTAGAGGCACAGCCAGAATTGGAAGTCAGGCCTAGCCTCTCCCAGACATGTGGAGGAAAGGGCAATGTCTTCTAGCTAGTGTGGCTGCATGTAGTGAGGCCTGCTATGGGTGTGCCCTGCTGTGGCTGCATGTAGTGAAGCCTGCTATGGGTGATTATGTGAGAGACAATAGCAGAGGGGAACAGGCCCACCCTGAAACCTGGAGGATTTAGCTTAGACCTCAGGAAGACTTCCTGTTTGAAAAAGGTGTGAATCATTGTGGCCAGTGACAATTATGGGGTTTCTTCTTCCAAAAATGGCAGAAAGTTTGGGAAAGGGGCAGGGAATAGACTTCATAACTGCTTAAAGATCCTTCTAGCCTGGCCGGCGTGGCTCAGTGGTTGAACGTCAACCTATGAACCAGGAGGTCACAAGTTCGATTCCTGGTTAGGGTACATGCCTGGGTTGTGGGTTCGATCCCCAGTAGGGGGTGTGCAGGAGGCAGCCAATCAATGATTCTCTCTCATCATTGATGTTTCTATCTCTCTCTCTCTCCCTTCCTCTTTGAAATCAATCAATAAAAATATATTTTAAAAAAAGATCCTTCTAGATCAGTGGTTCTCAACCTTCCTAATGCCGCGACCCTTTAATACAGTTCCTCATGTTGTGGTGACCCCCAACCATAAAATTATTTTTGTTGCTACGTCATAACTGTAATGTTGCTACTGTTATGAATCGTAATGTAAATATCTGATATGCAGGATGTATTTTCATTGTTACAAATTGAACATAATTAAAGCATAGTGATTAATCACAAAAACAATATGTAATTATATATGTGTTTTCTGATGGTCTTAGGCAACCCATGTGAAAAGGTCATTCGAGCCCCAAAGGGGTCGTGACCCACAGGTTGAGAACTGCTGTTCTAGATTCAGGTTTCTATGATGCCATTAAGTAACTACTCAACCAAAACCATCTGAATCCAGAAGTCTTGCCAGGAGGAAATAGTTACTGAAAAAATGTCCCTGTGCATACCTTTGGCCCAGCAGCTGCCCTTTGGGGTGAAGGCAGTGACTGGGCATATGTAGGGCTGTTTACCTTGGTTAGGCAATGCAGATAAGTTGTCCTGTTTGTATTTGCAGATGGAGCTAATGTTTGGGTGGGCAAGGCCAGGCCAGAGCAGGCAGGAGGAGCTGGCACCAGGTCAGGGTCCTCCACTGGGGCCAGGGGTGAAGAGGGAGGAGCAGCCACAGTCCAGCTAAGCGGCCCTATTTCCACTGCAGGCGTCCAGGCGTCCATTTCCTGTCTGCTCTGTGCTCTCCTGGACTTCTGTGTGTCAACCCTTAACTTTCTCTTTTAAATGCTCTCTCTCTCTCTCTCTCTCTCTCTCTCTCTCTCTCTCTCTCTCTCTCTCTCCTTCTGCCCCTCTATCCTTACAACACACCCCTGACAGCAAAGTTCTGCACTGACCCAGGCCCAAAAGACTTCTTGTTGTGGATAAGAAAATATTTTCATTAGAAAATGAACCTGGGTAATCCCTTTCAGACCCACAAATGCCATTTTCAAGAAAATAGGAAATCTGACTTGTTGGGTAATGGGAGTGACTGCCATTCGGAACACCATCACCCCTGACTTGCAGGGGAGAGCATGGTCTCTGGAGAGGTCACCTCAAGACCTAAGAATCACTAGGTCTGTTCTTGGTACAGCCTTGTTATGACCTGTGCTCAGTATTTGCTAACTCAGTGTAACAAAGCCATTGCCCTTGAGAAGACTAGGAAAGACAGGCAGAGTGAGGAAGGTCATCGCTGGACAGCTGCTGGCTGCCCAGGCCCTCACCCGCCCCACGCCTGTGAGGGAACAGCTAACATAGATCACATTCTCTCTTTATAAAGAGATTGAAAAGACTTTTTGCAGAACACAAACCAGTTCTCTCAGAACCTGCTTATGGGGTTGAGAGAAAGCCAGGTTCTTCGGGACCCCATGCTGAACCCCACACCCCATCTTCAATGGAAGCGTTGCCTTTCACCAGCTGGCAGATGAGGAACTGACACTGGGGGTCGGGGGCTGGGGGGCGCATGATGTCTAGTGATGCAGGGCCAGGTTTTGGATTTCACTCAGCCTCACTGTCCCCTGAGGCAGCTCCAGGTAAAGACTGTTGATTTGGGAAAGGTGGTCAAGGGTGCGTAGTGCTCATTCCACGGGGTTTGGTTCACTAAAGAAGTGAGGGCAATGAGCAGAACGACCTCTGCAGAGGTTGGCCAGCTTCCTGCTGAAGTGGCAGAACGTTTCCATCCTCGGGGCTGCTTTGTTTACTGGGCTCTGTGTGCCCCTGCCAGCACAGCTGTGACTTTGCCACGCCCCCGCCCCCCAGGTCCCATCCTGTGTGTGACCTAGATCTCAGCTGCAGGAATGGAGAACATAACCTCTTTGAATGAGCTCTTGTATGCCTTTGACCAACATGTTACCCAGATGGGGCAGGGTATCTGGATGGTGCCCTCCGCCCTGCCCTTTGACCTTAGATCTGTGGATGCAGCCTCACCAGCCCATTATGTCCCCCAGGGCATCTTGATCCCCACCCACAGGGTGTAGGGTGGGGTGGGGGCAGCTGGTGTCAAATGACAGGTTCTGTGCCCAGTCCTGCTTGGTTACTTGCTGACCTTGGACCTTGGGCTCTCTATACTTTAACTTCTAACCAGTGTCACACGCTTGTCATGGGAAGGAATTCAGGTGACCCATGTAAAGCCCTTAGCGCAGCTCCTGTTAATCACGGGTCCAGGTGGACTCAGGACTGGATCTGCCAGGTCTGCGGCATCACTCGGCAAGGAAGACGGGGAGTCACATCTGAGTGTAGGGGGTTCTGGAGGGCTTTGTCAGATGGAGTCTTAGGGACTTGGCTTTGGCACAGTCTTACCTTGGAGGGGCTTTGTAGGCCCCAAACCATAAACTTGGCTTGAACAAGTGGACTCTTTGCCTGCCCCCTTTGCAGACTGAGGCCCAGGGGTGTTAGTAAGACCCCATCACTTTCCAACAGGCCCAAAGACATCTTGAAGGGCTCCTGGGGTCCCAGTGGCACACTCGATAGGCTGCTCTAACTTCAAAGAAGCCAGCTTGACCCCTTCCCAGACCCCTGAGAAATGGAAACGCAGCCACAGCTGGATGAATGCAGCAGCCAGAAGTGGAGACAGTGCAGGCGGCAGGAGAGGGGCTTTCCAGCAACCGACCTCTGGGTCCTGTGTTTAATCCACAAGACCAGGAGCTGTGATGTCATTTCTGGCCCGGCCTGTAAGTCACCTTTTGGGTGGCCTAGCCACCTGTACCAGGGCCTCTTCCTCCCTGAGGGCGGGGCCCAGGCAGCCCAGGAGCTGAGGCTTAATGAGGAGGATTGGTGCCTGGAGGACAAAGGATTTCCAGGGGAAGCAGCCCAGGCTGATCATTACTGTGGCCTGAACTCCCAGCCAGGTCCCAGCTGGGTCTTGGTCTCCCTGGGGCTTCCATGCAGCCTTCTCCTGGCAAGGGGACTCAGAATGGAATGTTCTGGGACCAGCAGGTGTGTAACAAATGCTACAAATGCTTGCTCAGTGATGTCAGAGGATAGGCTGGCCCCAGGCCAGATGCAGAGGTAAAGGCTGACTGCTAATCCCAGCTTCCCTTCCTCCTCTTTGTCCCTTCTGCTGCCCTTACCCATCATGAGCCTCTTTCTTTCTCCTCTCTCCTGACCTTGAAACTTTTCCTCAGGAAAGGTGGCGGGGGTGGGGGTGGGCAGTGTAAGGAGTGCATTTACACTGTAGTGTAAACGACTGGCGGCACTTCAGTGTTTTTCTATTCCCCTTTCTATCATTTCTGCAACCTTGACATGACCTTAGTCTTGGGCTTCTGAAACTGGGATAATGAATCTCTGGGGTTATTGGTGATGTGCCAGGGGTAAACAAAGCTATAGGATAACCTGGGACACCTTCCTCATCAATTTTATTAGGTGATGAGAAAACAATTATCTCTTGAAATAGTCACAAATATGTTATAGAGTAGAAAAAAGTTGCCTGGATTATAAAGACAAATAAAAAAGTCTTATCTCCATAGACAGCAGTTAAATTTATTTCCTCAAGACTCAGAAAAGCATAGCTCCCACATGACCACTCCGGCCACTGACTGTAGAAACATTCCGTGATGGCAAGACAACCCCCTCCGGTCATTGCTAATCTTGTTGGCAGATGATGGGTTGGTTGGTAGTGACTGCTGGTATACAAGACTTATATGCCTTTCTGAACATTTACATAATATTTTTTAAATTAAGTTTAGACCTTCTATAAGTGTAAACTCATCCATTTTGAACCTAACACAGAGCTTGAAGGGCAGTCACAAGAATGTTCTGCATTTTTGAGCATGTGTTTCCTTAAAGATTTAAAAGTTTGAAGAAGTGCAAACATGACTGAGCCAGGTGTAAAACTGAGACATCACAGGGAAAAACTGTTAGTGAACCCTAAGTGGACAGCATAGGCTACAAGGACAAATAACACTACAAGGACCACAAAGATGGATTACGAATATTAAAGCAAAAGAAGGATGCTTGGCAACCAGGAGAGAGGGCCAGCCCCACACAGGTCAAACAGAGCAGGACGTGAAGAGTCAGGAAGCGGCAAGCAGGGCTGTCAGGAGCCCGTCGTGACGGGGGTTCCACAGGGACCCAGGACCTGTCCTCATTCTACACCCACATCTGCTGCAAACACACGGTGCACCTTTGAAAGGAGAAAGTTCCCTAGTGTTTCAAAGTCAAAGCCACAGTGACTGACTTTTGACAGAATCTGCTTTTATTTCCCAAAGCTTCTGTTTACTCTCAGATGACTATGTATTGCTCTCAAGATGTCCAATATTAAAATTAGTAATGGATACTGGAAGAATAAGATTTATTGCATTTATGGTGAGATAAGTAAATAAAAACACACTAAGGTTTTGTTAAGGACTCCCTCTGATTTCACTTCTGGGGCCCATTCCTGGAACTGGAACAAGGGCGGAATCAACCCCTGCAGGGTGACTGGAACCAGCCTTGGAAGTACTCCTTTTCCTCCTGAAATCCCCCAGCATCCCCCCTGCAGCGTGCCCTCAGCACCCCAGCTCCAGGGCTGATGGTGACAATGTTTCTTTGTGATGCCTAAAGGGCTTCACACGGACCACCCGGAGCGTCTGATTCTAGCACACAGCGGCGCCCTGCCTGCCTTCCTCTCCTCTGGCTCTGGCTGTGCTGTCACTCATGTGGTCACAAGTTGGCCAGAACATAGCACGATGGGAAGAAAAGCAAAACAGACCAGCCAGGTACTCGTAGGACCCCTCTCTGGATTGAGTGCCTGTGTGAATTCTCTGGGAGGCATGCAGGGATAATAATTGTTCTCCCCCTTGTTTACAGAAAAGCCAGACACAGGAAAGCCTAGAAGAAAAATGAAGGAAAACATTGCATATATGGAGAACCTTCTCTGGATGAAGAGTTAATTATTGATGTCCTGTGCCTAGCGCAGAAGTAGGTCCTTATTTCTATCATGAGGAAACGGAGGCTGAGAGATTGAGGAAAGGAGTGGCTCATGTCCATCAAGGGCTTACCACAGGCCAGGCGGTGACATGTGTTAGCCCACTTATTACTCACCAACCCCATGACAGAAGCACAGGGATCTCCATTCTATAGATGGGAAACCAAGACTGGAGACACCTGGGAATTTACCCATAGTTCCAAGCTAATCCACATTGGAGCCAGGACTGGAATCTAGAAATGCTGGCTCCGAAGTCCGTGTGTTTCACTGCTGTGCTGCACTGCTCTGCAGATCAGGGAATCGGCAACCACAGGACTCGGAGTTCCCGGGTCTGTCTCCTGCTGACGCGATCGTGAACAACCAAGGTCTGAGGCCAAATGGGGCCTCCCCTTAGTCTGGAAGGATGCTTCAGACAGGCTGCATTTGAAAAAAAAAAAAAAAAAAAAAAAGGCATGATGCAGCTGCCAGCCACAAGTGCTGCAGGCTCCTCAGCATGGCCTCTGAGGACGGTGTCCCCACTGTTCGTGGGCATCTGCCACTGACACTGGATCCACACCTGGGCAAGGGTGGTTTTGATCTTTCTCTACCTGCCAGTGGGGCTGGCTCCGGCTCCTGCCTACAGCCTAGGCTGCCATGAGGGCTGGTTGATGAGCTTGGGAAGTCACCCTTGGCCAACACAGGCTTGGTTCTCCTGGGGGCCACCCCTCTGTCATCACCCCTCCCTGGCCA